TACGGTACAGCAGACTACCAACCACTCCCATGTGGGGACACCCTCCTTACCCCACTCCTGTTCCAACACCTCATACAGGGTTTCGACCTTTACTTTTCTGCATGCTTCTCTCTTCACCCTGCTTGGAACTTGCTGTCATAAACCAAGCCATTGAGAACTATGTTCTCTTAGAAACTTGAAGAAATTTGGTGATGGCAAAATATACAGGTTTGGGGAACACAGTAGATCCAACATTATAAATGAGAACTTGGTCTGAGAGGACCTCCAAGTCTGAAGGAAATAGCTCATGTTAAGAGGGATGAGAAAGCACAAGCAATAATCTGAGGCACTCAGGGAACATGTAACATGGATATGTGTAAAATCATGCAGAGCTAGGAAGGTAACTGATACTTTTCAGATGGGGAGGGAGAAAATCCCTGACCTTGGTTGGCCTGATGGAAATAGTGGAGCTGAGCATTCATAAACAGAGGAAGACAGGTTGCTTAGCTTAAGATGGCTGGTTAGTGAGGACACACATCTAGTGTCTAGCCTTTCCTTACAAATCATGACCCTCTATTTTTTTATTGCTTTTCTATCTCATGGTATCTCTGGATAGTAGGGCTGATAATTTATCACATTAAGGGCATCAAGAATGAGAGCAAAAAAGAAGCTCTCTGGCCTCAATAATGTGCACGAGTACCAAATGCAAGACGATTGTAATATTTGTTGCAGATTCTGGGGTTGCGCCATACCTGACAAGCCTGACTTAGATAGAGATAGAAAGAGAAGCATGCCCTGAACCTTGGAGAAAGCAATAGAATACTCTGCACACAGGGCACTAGACTGATTCTGTCATATGCCCTCAGAGAGAAACACCATCTCTGAAGGCAAAGCTGTGCTGCCCTGGTCTGATCTGGGACACCTGGGGACACTGCACCTGTGTTGAGTTACTGAGATGAGCCAGCCCTGCAGCTGTGCTGAGTAACTGAGTTGAGCCAGCCCTGCCCCAGCACCTGTGATTTGCATGTGCCCAGAGCACAGTCCCCTGCCCTGAAGACTTATTGATAGGCTGCTCACATCCTGTGCAGGAGTCAGTCCCAGTCAGGACACAGCATGGACATGAAGGCCCCTGCTCAGCTCCTGGGGCTCCTGCTGCTCTGGCTCCCAGGTAAGGAGGGAGAACACTTGGAATTTACTTAGCTTAGTGAGGTAAGTGCTTCCTGGTTCTTTGGGGAACTCCTCTTACAACATGATTAATCATGTGGATATCTGTTTTTATGTTTCCAATCTCAGGTGCCAGATGTGACATCCAGATGACCCAGTCTCCATCCTCCCTGTCTGCATCTTTAGGAGACACAGTCACCAT